ATATATATATATATATATCCACTTATTGATAGAGTTTGCACTTGCCATGTTCTCAAGTTTTATTTTCAAATTTTGATGTCTATGAATTTCACATTAGTCTTTAGTAAATGCTATGATATACTTGATTTGTACCCTTCAGGTAAAGAGCTTGAGACTGCCAATGAAGTTTGGCAACAACAGAGGATGTTACAAAGCAAGAGCTCAGAGCCCCCTTCAAGTTCTTTATTAATGATCTAAATGACCGTACACGCAAACATTGAAACTAAAATCACAACAATCCCGATTCCTGCCTGCATTATTGGATTCGATGGGTTTCAATATTTCAAGCAGACGACGATGATAGGACTTCAATTGCACATCCAAGAGGCCACGCTGCCCCAACCAAGGAACCTTTGTATTCTACTTGGTTTAACACGGTGACCTCTTCAAGGGGATCTACGCCTGTTATGTCAAGTTAAAAAATAAACATAAACCACCGTTTGTGTGTGTGAATGATTGAAGTACATAGATGCCATATATCTTTCTTACCAAAACCATGTGCAAGCAATGTGTACTCGTATACAAGATCCATACACAGAAATGGCACGTCTCTTTCATCAATTTGAGGGAATTTAGATTTTATAGTTTGGACGTTAGCCCTGCAAGCAACCTTAGCTGCATTCCAGTATACAATCGGAGGAACTTTGACAGACGGCACATTTTGCTTAATAATACTAGCCTACAACAACAGTTACACGTTAGTATGCATTCATTTGGATAATGATTTCATCGAGATCGAACTAATTCATCTATTTTTTACGTACCCCAACAGCAGTGTCATAGAAGAATGATGCAACATAAAGATTCTTCCGGCCATCGCCACCTCCACCATTCCAAACACCGTCAAATGAGCAGTTTCTGTATGGGCAAGGTGCATCAAGTTTAAGTACTTCTCCAGTTAATGCTCTGCATCTCCTTAGGCTTGTTCCAGATAATGGAGCCGATACATTATAAATCACCCCGGAATAATCGTATGTTCCTTTTGAAAAAGAATCAAGATTATGCATATCAAGCAGCGTTCAATATAGTTATTACTCATGACATAAATTATCGGAGGATGGGTCAATAACTACCCAAAACGTATAGCTGCGAATATAATATAGCATACGAGCTTGTTTGGGCAACCGTTAAATACCTAAATACATACCCTTATAACCATTTGTGACACATGGATTGCCATGGCCACCAGAAAGCTTCAGACTTTGAGCTCGAGCTGCTTTAAGTCCGTAGTTCAAGTAACTGAAGACAATTTATCAAGTATTAATGTCATGTATACTTTTAAACCGTGGAAGAGAAAATGCAAATGATGCCCCTCCCTACGCACACGTTGGCAGGAGTATTAGGACACGTTTGGAGAAACGAGACCTGTGAGAATAAACATAATATGTTGTTCCAACAATGTTCTTTTCGAGAACATATGCATCCTTTGCCACGGGGGCGTTGGCAGCACCTTCCTTTGAGATAGCATAAGCCATCTGCACTGATCCACCTCCAAGATCGATCACACCAACTGTGCTCGAGTATTTTTTGCCTGGTGTCCCTAATAAGTAGTTTATAGCAACCTGCAATTTCATGAATAATGCAAGAAATTTATAAGTTGTGCAGCCTCCATATATATCTATAAATGTACACTACTTAAATAGATAGCCTTCATCTCGAACTTACCCAAAGATAAGCACCTTCCTGTGATCCTTCAAGAATAGACACCCACTCTTCCTTGTACTCGAGGGTGCTTTCCTTCTTAAAAAGCTCTCTGACCTTAATTTCCATAAGAGAAAAGAATTACGAGACTAGATTAACAAGCTCTCTCAATATTAATGGTAGCAAGTGTTCAGAATTATAAACCTCAATTCTATCCCACCATGAGAAATCAATTTAAAGAAAGAAAATAAACAATTAAGAACACGTAAGATTTATATTACCTCAACGTAAATAAACAATTAAGAACACATAAGATTTATATTACCTCAACGTGAGATTACGTTCTCTTCCGCCATTACAGTAATTTACTATCGTGAAAAAACCGTATTTTACAAGGACTCATATTCTTTCATAGAATTTTACAAGGATACAAATTTCTAAACAGCCCTTAATTAAAATTTTCGTCTGGGGAGTGGGAGGGGGGCCGCCCGCCTCCCTTCCAAACCCCCACGACGACCTCACCACAGAGGTTGATCTGCGACCAGCTCTGCGAAGTAGCAATAATTAGGGCTTGACAATAATTAAGCTCCACAACTCAGCAATGACTCGTAAATCAGATAGGCAATGCAAATTGATACAAGTTCAGTACGTTGGAGTAACTAGAAACTGATAATATCTATTCATCTTAATCGTTTAACCAAAGAAAGGAAGGAGCAGAATGTACAGCTTCCAAAATTCTTTCAGCTTCGTCACCTTCCAACTGTCGCAGTCCTGCAGTAGCCTGTGGGCAGTACATTCAATTCGCCATTTCAGATGTAAAATCCAAATCAAAACGTATTAAAATGAGAGATATAGAGAGACGTAGTACAGACTCCGAGTCTAAGTGGTGTTTTAGAGTGCAACTGTTTAGGCACAGCTGCTTCTGCTTTCTGTAGGAGTGGCCTTAACGAATCAGCAGCTGCCTTAGGGTCATCCGCGTATGAACTTAGACCTGGTGTCGTCTGCATTACAAGTATCAGATGCAACATCCATCACAACATGTACAAATCAATACATTGGATAGTATACTATAATGGATCTTGTTACATATACATAAAAGTTTATACAAGGGATTACATAATCCTACTATAATATACAGTACCGTGACAAGAAGCTCGAAATCTTCGCCGACTGGAAGAAGATTGAAGTCTTTGTCGAAGCTGAAGACATGGACTCTGCTGCCAGTACTTCCGGCATCAAATATAACCGCATAACTACTAGACCCCAAGTTGAGTATAAGGCCATTGAAGGAAAACTTGCGGTTTAAACCAGGGAGAGAGTAGACGGGAAGGAGAAAGACTAATGCAAAGAGAATCAAGAGCAACGGACTGCTTCTTCCCTTCACCATCCTTTAACTTTGCCTATCTAGTTTCTTCTACTTCAAGATTTAAGATCACAGAAAAATATTAACCAAATAATATTAGTTACAATCGATCAAATGCAGCACAAAAATGTGGAATCAAATTAGCAAATAATGCTCACCTGCTGAAATAATTGGTGTTTGTTGGTCATGTGTATGCCTTATAAATAGATTGATACCAGCCTTGACATGGGCGAAGCCAGGATTCAGTGAGACGGGGGGCTAGTCAGTTAGACAGTGGACTATTGGGTTGGATTTTTAAAAAAAAGTGCTATAAATTTTTTTTTTTCTAGTAGAATT